CTCTCTATAACGAGTAAAACAATAATAGAAAGAAAATCTCTTCTATTCATAGATGAAGTCCTATCTAAGGGCCTTTGTTTCCCAAGAATTCCGCTCTCTATAACGAGTAAAACAATAATAGAAAGAAAATATCTTCTAGGAGCCTTTGTTGCCCTTGAAATCCGTTCCCTATAACGAGTAAAACAACAAAAACAACCGACAACAACTTGTATGAGTCGAAAACATAATTAGAAATATAAATTACTAATGATGAAATTCCCTTTTATAACATGAAAATTTACACATATTTCCTCGACTTCTTCACTTCTATATTTGTATTGTACTGAAGGAGCCAATTGTCACCCGTAATGAAAACTCCCCTTAGTGAGAGGTTTCAAGTTCGGACCTAGGAATAAAGAACTTCTTAACGGAGAGCATTTTACCCCCTTTAATTAACTTACCCAACACGTATACAAAGTAACTCAGACCAACAAATTTCAAATATCATATGATTAAACCAAAAGAAAAACTTGGAAGTCTAGACATTTCTCTAATCAGAATGAGATAAATCTAAAGGGCAGCCCAGTACACTAAGTTCCCGCTATGCGCGGGTACGGGAAAAGGCTGAACCACAAGGGCTTATTGTACGCGACCTTACCCCACATTTCTGCAAGAGGTTGTTTCCACGACTTGAACCCGTGACCGGAGGTCACAATGAGATAAAATTCACAAAACATCCCAGTTCCAACATTGTTTTTCAAATATTCTCCAAATTAAAAACAAAGAAAGTAATAATAATGAATTCAAGTAACTCTTCAAAACAAAAATAATATTTGAATTGATACTTACTAACTACTCAAGATTTTCTTTCTATTTCTTTAATTTTTATTCACTTTCAATAGAGTTTACCATACACCATATATGTTAACCACTTCATTATTTTCTTTAATAGGTGTAATGAATTAATTAGTTATGTTCCAAAAAATGAGGGATTCTCTTGTATTGTAATAGCCAAAAACAACATAGCCTAGCCAGATAAACAGAAACAAAATTCTACTCCTTATAATTATTGTGATCTACTAATGGCTTACGCCAATCAGCTTTAGAAAGTACAAGTTGATTCTGTTAAATTCACTGAATGCTTATTATTTTGCTACTTACATTCAGGTTCCTCTCATGAACATCAAAATCTCACAATTCACTCCCATCCCCTAGTTCTCGCTGTCTCCCATGCTATTTCTCCCTTTGCTCAAGCATTTGCGTCTTCAGGAATATCATCCTTTATGCTGCTTTATGACTAATTTTACTTAACTAAACAAGCAAAATCCACATGCAAAAAACACTTTGAGCAACAATTTTCTTTCCTTCTAACAGAATCATTGATGAAGCGTCTTCTTGACATAAAATGTGACGTGATTTTTATGTGAGAATAAAGGAGGAATAAAGGGGGCTTTGCAGATTGGTTTCGGGAGCCTTTCTTGAACTACAAGTGCCATTCTCGTGTGCTGCTTCTTGTATTTCGTTGTCCATCCGTAAAAGTAATAAAATAGTAGTATAAATAAGCACGAATATCAAAGAGACTCCAACCAAAACCAGTTGCCCTCTAATAGCTTCAGAATCTTAAGGTTCGGAGCCTGTTCTCTATTCGTAAGTAAGTGTCCTTACACAAAGAACTTTCAAATGTTCTTGCAAAACTAGTTTTCCTTCTTTCCATTGGTCTCAAAATTGCTTCCCTTCTTTGAAGCTGGTTACTTGCTAAGTGTACCGAGAGTGCCCTCTAAAATATCCGCTGACTCTTGCCTTTTATAACTCAAATTTCATGAGACAAAGCAGGGCTAGATTGAAATCCAATTTCTCATTGTTTTACATTTACTATTCTATCTTATTTTTCCCATAGAAATAAATCACTATGGAACTTTTTATCAATTTTCTGAAATATTTTGGTCAATATACTGTGTATAAACTTAGGTCATGCATATATATATAAGAAAAATTTACTATGACATCATCTTCTCTTTTCTCATAATCTGTTAGGCTATGTTTTCAAAATGAATCTGCAGAACTGTTCAAATTCTTAATGGTTTTTCCAGATTCAGGCCAACTCAAGCAAGTTATGGAGAAGCAGAATTTAGACTTGTACTGGAGGAATATTCAGATTATGCAAGAGAATGACAGGCTAAGGAAGACTGCTCAACGACTCAGACAGGAGAATGAAGCTTTGTATTCTGAGCTTAAACAGAGACTAGCAGCAGCAAGAAATAATCAAATACCTGAACTTGAACTCAGGCTTGGCCCCAGTCCTTCTGCAGATCAAATGAAACCCAAGAATCCTCAGCCGCCTCCATGCAGCTAAAGCTATTCCAAGTGCCTCTTCTTGCTCTCGGTGATCCAAGGTCAAGGTTACGGGAAATTTTTAGTATGAATGTTGATTGTATTGCCGGAACTACAAACTATCTATTGTTTGAAACAATATGGTTTATAGGAATAAGAAGTTAATTAATAAAGTATAAGCTATCTATATTACTTAAAGATCTATCAATCTGCAGTTCTGTTTGTGATATTCAATGGCCAGTTTCTTTATCCAATTCCAACAGTACTATGTTCTTCTATAAGCATTTCACCAGAAAGGCATAGTTTATAGTTGTTTGTAATATAAAATGATCTTTTCAACCTCTAATATGCACTTTTTATATGGTTTGAAAATAATAATAGGAAATATTATCAACAGAAGCTGTCATGAAGAAGTAATTCTTAAGAGTTTTTTGACCCTTTAGCATTTCCAAGGTTTTTTAAATGATCGAATTTCTCCTCCCTATTAATATTTCTCTCGAGAAAAAGAAGAAATTAAGTACTTCGGCATAAGAACAGAGATGCAGGCAGACAAGTTCTTTCAAAAGCCACTTGGCAACACCATTTAAAATCAACATTGAATAAACCAACATAAGATTCGTCCTTTTTAACAGCACATGAAACTATATTTTACGCCAGATTAGTTTTAAAACTAGAGTATGTCCCTCTAACTAATACAGTCTAGTGAGGGGACATTCTTTAGCATGTTCAATAATAGTCATCCAAATTGACATATTCAATCGGAAGTTTTCTGGATAAATGCATAACTTATCTATCAAAATTTGTTTAGAGCAGACATACATTCGAACATAATAGACCAGGAGAACAAATCTTTCTTTATGTTTCTAAGACAAGAAATGCAGAACACCTTATCCATACACAAGCTAATATCGGTAAAAGATCAACAGTGAAAATTGAATGCTGACTTAGCAGGGTTGAGTGTTTTATGAGCATATCCCCAACACAGCCAGGTGAGATTTCAGAAACTTTTAAGTGAGTACTATCTATTTCGTTGATTAGAAGAAGAGCAGCATATCAGTGATGATGAAGTTTTACCTAATCAGGAACATTGATTAGATCCAATGTATACACTAGATTACAGACACTCCAAAATCTTGAAAAGAATTATACTGGACAAATGACATTTGCCATCTTTGTAGTTGGCTTATGTTCAATGAAGTATTAGTGACATTCTTTCAATTAGCAGAATTCTAGTTAAGAAAATTTTCTTCCAGGAGTTAAATATCAGTAACAAGAATGTCTCTGAACTCTAAAGAACCTTTTTTTTTTACAAGTGACGTGTCTAAAGTTGAATTAGCCAACATCTTATTCTGAGCAATTTTAGATGTTCTTAGGGTTAACTCAGATTCAAAAGGATAAAAACGAGATACCTATTATACTCTAGAATTCAGTTCTATTGACATAGAGAATCTGCAGAATTAACCAGAACATAAGGAATAAGATAGTAGAAAGGATTCAGAAAATTCGAGAGATGAGAAAAATAGTACAACAGAAAGACTTTTAAGATGACATCTACCACAAAGCAATGGGGAAAACATGCTATTTTGTTACTTTGCACGCAATTAATGCAGAGATAAAATACAGGATAATTTTCTCATCAATTAGCACGATTAGATTATGATATTCGCATGAAGGAGGTATTCTGCCAGCGAGGTCTGAGTATTGGCAGCCCCTGAGAGCAGTTGAAGGAAATATCCATCGAAAAGACTTTTATGCTTCTAAGGAACACTTCCAAAAATTAATATTAAGCAGGACTCAGAGTTAATTTAAATTACTTTGCACCAGGTAGCAGTTCAAGTACTTGACTCTTACAATTACTGCCATTTATAGCTTACGACATCTCTTGTGAGTTGTGAGGATCTTTTGTTGTTAAACAGCTCATAAAGGGTAAAGTACATAAGGATCCAAGAGAGTGTTCCTTATCTATATTCTCGTGCGCGTGAAAGACGGAACAGAAAGTGATTCCAATGGGCCATTCCACCCCATCAAAAGCAAAATGCTCAGCTCAGCTATTGATTGTTTTGCTAAGATAGGTGATATAATATCTATTGCAGAAAACGATTAAGAGGGCCCTTACAAAATTGCATGATGATATTACAAGATAGCTAACTTACACCTACATATGCAGAATTGCAGACTCATACGACATTCTTTAAGAGAAGGCTAACATTAACTCACATACATAGACCAAATACACTAGAACCATATAGATACGAGGTCCAACTATGTTTTTCAGATTCTCCAAAAATATTGTTACACCGGTATCAGATTCTTCAAAATGCACTAATTTTGAAGAATCCAACACGCAACCCTCGATATATTTTAAGAGTCCGAGCAGCATAGAGTCAGAACCCAAAAAATAAAAATCCTATAGAAACATCTAAGCATGAAGGAATGCACTTTGTTTAAAATAGCTTTTTGATGTCCAAGTGTAATCGTATAAATCTCATGAACCTTCCCAAAAAAGCATGTGATATATTTATTTCTTTTTTAATATTTACAAAAGCATTTGAATATAATGCACTAGATATTGCAAGAAAATGGCACGATAGATGCAGATTTAGCATATAAAATTAAATTAGGATGGCCGAAATGGAGGAGTACTAGTAATAGTGCTGCAAAATAGGAAGACACCTATTAAAGTGAAAAACAAGTTCCATAAGATAATTGAGAAACCACAATATTATTCAGAAGTAAACTATAAGCCTTAAACACTAATACATTCAAAATATAATATTCACAGAAACCTTGATACTTAAATAGATGTGTGACATACAAGATTAATCAATAATAGAAAAGATGACATCCGAGAGAGGGTACAAATAGCACATCATGGATAGAACGAGAGAAAGCACCATGATGGTTGAGGCCTACAATTTATTTCAAAAGATCTACGACTTCTCGATATCAAAATAGTCTTCAGCTACGAACAAAAGACAATGGCAGCAAATGTAGTTCCAAACATTAAGATATATTCATTATGCTACATTTAAAATCTAATTGATTTTTTACATCTAACCATCATAGTTTGATAAATTGCTGAAACCACATTAATATAAAAATATATATTCATACATATACATATGATGGTCGACGATAACTTTATAACTTTCAAGTATGTTCTCTTTTTCTATATTCAAACTATTTTTTCCAACCATTACTTCACATTCGTTTCTCAGCCTCACTAATATATGATAAAATGTACGCACGCCAAACCATACTTTGGGACGTAGAGGTTTTTTCCAATAGACGTTAGCCCAACGCAAATCAATTCAAAGCCATCCAGAAAAAGAAATAAGTAAAGTGCATAATCGTAACTCAAAAAAACAACATATACTAACAGAAATCAAATCAAAGGACTATAAACTACAATAGTAATACTACCACAGTATGTAAATAAATACGAAACCACACTCAACTAACTTGTAATCCTCTATCCTAATCTGTATCCTCCGTAACCTCCAATTTAAGGTCATGGAAACTGAAATTGCACCACGCCGTGTCTAATCACCTCTCTCTCATACTTTTTCCGCATAAATTGGGAATAGTTTCACGTTCACAGAAGATATTAACAACTATACATACCTCAATTACATGTATATATTCATCATAAATAAAAAAATAGAATATCAATTTAAATCAAACTAGAGATATTACCGGAGAAAGAAGAAATCCGGTGGAGTAACGGATAGGCTTAACGGCGGTAGGTACAACTGAGCAGTAAATCAATAACGGCACGCCGGCGCTCTTCGCCGTCGATAGTTTCTCCGTTGAGCTGAAGGTATAGTAGTGAAGCAACGTTTAATCAGTGTTAGTTCCAAATTAGCTTTGCTTTTATAGAGAATTAGTTCTATAATTTGTAAAAGGGGAATATAAACTTTGATAAAGTAGAAGATGGGATATGAATTTAAGTTTTTTTATTTATTCTTTTAAGTATTTATTATTTGACACAAAAAATTTATACCGTCCAACAAAATTAAAAATCCTGTATTTTTTAATTTTTTTGTTTAATTTTAACTTGACACAAAATTTATGAAAATAGAAAAAATTTGTATTTGTCTTGTATTGAGGTACACTAAAGAGATTCGGAAGAATAGGTACCGGAAGGAGCGGGATTGTTATTTTTTATTAGTGAGGACAAGTCGCTTTCATTTTCACAACAATCTAGTGACACACCAATCCTTTAAAGAGTAGGTGATTCGTATCTTTCTATGCCCCAAGAAGACGGGGGAGGTGGGGCAAGCTCTTCAAAATGACTGAGCGTAAAGGGCACGGTTAGTGTTCAACTAAAGATACATAGAATGTATCAAAATAATCTTAAACATGTTGTGTGGAAAGTTAGTGCATTCTTTATGAAACAGACTAAAAAGAAAAGTAAGATTAAGAAATTGAAACATAGGATGTATTATTAATTGAACGATCATCTAAGAAATAAACTTCTGTGATAGATGGAGTTAGTTGGATATATCCCACTATTTGGCTGATACACTTGTATTTCCCATTCATTGTTTTGTAGGTAAAAATTGTTTCTTGAAGCTGTGCTTTGAAATGAAACAGAAGCATCTAAAAGAGTCTCCCAATCTTGATTGTCATCTTCAAGTTGTATCAAAGGCTGCATTTCACTATCAAATCTTGATTGTCTCTTCTGTTTCTTATATTGCTCGGACTCTTCACTATCATCAATATTGCTATCATGCATTTTTGGATTATTTGACACGGATGCAACAACATTTATAGAGGGTCCAAGCAACATCATAGCCTGTTTCTGTTTACAATCGTTGCCATCTTCGTTGGATGATAGAGAGGAAACGGATGTTGAAGAGGACGGATCATCTGCCGATTGCTGCCACATTCCATTGAGGAAGCTCTCAAGAGCTGTGATTTGGATTTGTGGGATTTTGTCAATGAATGGACACTCATATATGCCACAAAGTCCTAAAGACTTGCACCAATCATAAAATTCACTAAGTTCATTTGCTTGACTTGCTGCTTTCTTGTAAATCTCAAATGCTGCAGAACAATTTATGTATGGTAATTGTATGAGATGATCTAGTATCTCAACAAGCTCTTTCCTGAAAGTAGTGTAACACGTGAAGCTATCGCGAATTACATGTTTCATGACTGATTGAACTATAGCGTTACGTGTTGCTTGCCCTGTTGGCCTGCAGTCTATGACTCTGTCTATTAGGCTTTGTAATTGAGGCAAGAATTCTAACATTAGCCTTACTTCATCCATCTTGTCAATAAAGATTTCATGACTAGTTGAGTGGTAATCGTCGATTTCTTTTCCTTGAGTGGCACAACAATCGAGGGATTCATCGAGCAAACGTGCATATGACCAAATGAAATAGGTGTAATCTAGAGAGGCAGAGGAAGACCTATCCTTGAAGTTACAAGGGTAGAGACACATCAAACCATTTGATCTTGCCAACATGAGTTCTTCGCGAAGAGGGCTAGTATGAGGCAATGCCTTAAGGAGCCGATGGAGGAGGTGGAGGCATTTCAACGCGACTCTCCAGCATCTTGTGTTGGCAAAACGTTGACTAAAAGACAACGCGAATGGACCAAAAGAAGACGGACAAATGGAAAATATTTGGAGGATTTCGAGTACATATCGATCAGGCAATGGTGTGTCATCAGGGGAAGTGGCTTTGACAACAATGTGATCAAGGTCACAAAAGCCTCCAATGGTTGCAAATTTTGCATAGCTAACACATGTGTGTTCCCTAAGGGAAGTGAATACTTTCTTGATTCTATTCTGCATGATTTGAATAGAAAGGAGTACTTATGTTTGAGGTTATAGAATTCAATGACCAAGCCTCGTGAGTGGTGACAGAGCTAGAGTTTTAACTGAGAAAAATCATATTTAAAGAAGTTAAGGGATCAACATATAGTCAAAAACATTGTCTGCTTTATAATTTATTGACACAGAGGTGTCATTTGACTCCTTTTATACAATCATTTGACGAAACCAAGAATTTCGCTAATAATGCTCAAGGCTTAATACATATATATATGAGAAGTGTATGTTTGACTTATATACACAATATAATTCTCTATATATCATTATAATTTTTCGATGAAGAGTGTTCAATTGATAACCGCGACTACACCAAACCTAAGGAATAATGAAATGAGTTGTGGCATATACTTTAGTTTTCTTGTTTAAATATGAAGCATATGACATTTAAATTTCGACGTTTACAAGATAGTTGAAAAGATTGACATTCTCCATGAACTTTGTAACCATATGATAAGTGACAACCCATCCATTATATTATAATATAATTATTATTATTATATTATATTATGTTCATTTTCATTGTACCGTCTAAACCACTATGAAATTGCTATAGTTTTTTACAATGATAACCAAAAAAAAAAGTACTCTTGTTTTGTCCTTTGATATAGGAATATGAATATGACTAATGTAGAGTAAATTTCACAGGTCATCCAACTTTGTGTCATTACACACAAAAAATCATAAATTTCTTATTTTATATTTAATGAGTCGATTTACAACTATTGGCTTGTCTTTTTCCTTGTTTCAATGGTTATTCCTATAACTTGGGATTTGAAACTTCTATTTGCAAGACACTTACATGCACTATATTAGTTCTACCTCTAACTAACTATGGACGAAGACTTAGACGTATAATTAACAAAATCAAATAAGTAAGAAGTTTATTTATAAATTTTTCTAGAAAATATTTTTCTTTGTATCAATAAATCCTATAAGTATATTTTTTTCTTAAATTTTATGCTCAGTCAAATAATATCAAATAAAATAAGATGGATAAAATATTTTCTTCTTGGACAAGAAAAAGATAAGTTGAATTATCAGTTACCCAAATATATCAACTAGGGTATGCCACCACCATTTATTTTTTTAATTTCGTTGATTTGGTCCCTCTAGGGGAACAGAGAATTCATGTTGAAATTTATTAATTCTTGATCAAACCTTAATTACTTTAGACTAAAGTTTTGCTAGTTCAATTCATTTTAGGCTATTGTAGGTAGAGAAAATTGACTCAAAGACTTTTCTTTCAAAGTCATCTTTATAATACTCCAATTCTTTTTTTTTTCTTTTTGAGGATTACCTCATTTAATGTATTATTTTTTTTATGTGAAGTCCCTAATCTTTATCAAACTCATAATGGCATGTATTTTGTACTATACTTGGAAACTAAACTAAATTTTAATTTAAAAAATTGTCAAATTTTTATTTTTTTAAAAAAAAGAATGTATGTGTCATTGCTAATTCGTTTATTTGACATGTTACTTGCGATTGGAGTTCACATGTGAGGTATAGTAGATCGGGTATGCATGAGACACGTGTCAAATTGAATTGTTTAAATGATCAATCGGTAAGTTTAAGTATTAGACGTGAAAATTAAGATATAATTCGATGTTTATCTATGTATTTCGCCCTAAAATATTAACATAATGAGATAATGTTATACATTTTAAAAATCAGTAATCTATTTGAAAGGAAAGAAGACACAATTTGAAGAAGAATGTCAAAGTGGTTCCTTATCTTTGAGATTTGGTTCAAAATCACCCTTTTAATTTATTTCAGAGCAGTTTGATCCTTTAAATTTGTCAAAATTAGTACTTTTGATCTTCTTCAAAAATTAACTAATTCTGATTGTTAGGTTTAGCAAAAAAATGTTAAATAAAATAGAGTTTACCATGAGGCCACATATGGAGGTGCAATTTCTACCATTTTGATTAATTTTTTAGAATTTTACGTAACTTTAAATACTACAATTTTGTGAGATTTTGACCGAACTTTCTTGATATTTCTAGAATTCTACCCCAAATATAAGACTTATTTTTTTATACTCATAATAGTTACAAAAGTACAAACCATCACATCAATTCTATGGCAATCATACACAACACTTGGAGGTGAAGACCCCTCCATACATATATTAATACATGAATTGATATTGCATCTTAATCTATGATCAACATATGTATGTATATAGAATGATTGTAAAAAAGTGTACTATGAACTATATATTGTTCCTTATTATTCTTGGATTTACTTGTATACAATGAAAAATGAATCATGTATAGTACTGGTCATAACAAGCGAGGGGCGGAAAGGGGTTCATGTGAATTCCATTCATCGAAAAATTATACTAGATACTAGATACTAAACTCAAAGACATCGTTTCAAAATGTCCTTTTGAGACTCTTGAAGTCCAATGAATCAACACACTCTGCTCTATCCCTATGCACATTCAACAACTTCAACAACTCACTAGCTTTCTCTTTTGTTGTTTCACTACAACCAACTTGCAGTATCACCAAAAGCTTTTGAAATGCACCAACTTGAAGTGCTTCAACAAGAATACCACAATCTCCATTATTTTCATTCTTGCATAGTATCTTCCATAAAATTGAAACTGAAAATTCAGTAGCCAAATCTGAAACTCTCAACAATTTCTTCACCAAAACAGGCACACTAAGTGCATAACTAGAAGCCCTTTTCACCCCTTCTTCATACCTCAAAATACCATCCAAAACACCTAATGCCTTTTCACATATGCTTTTGTCACAATTCACAAGTATTTCTATCAACATTTCAACTAACCCCACATCTACAAATCTTGATCTTGATGATTGTGATGATGAATTATTAACCATATAATAAATTGTTAATAAAGAAGCTTTTGTAGTATTAGGACAAATTGGCTCTTTTACCAACTTCACAAGCCCTTCTAATGCACCTTCAATATTCAACAAGATTTCAACCTTTTCTTGTTCTTCCAATTTCATAATTTCTCTAAGGACAACAACTGCATTCCTCCTACTTGATAAACTCCCATTCTTCAAGAACCATGCAATGCTACGTAACGATGATATCGACCCAAGAATTGTCTTGGACTTAACATCCAAAGGCAAAAAAAGTGTCAGAGTTGACAAGATCACTTCCTCTGTTGAAGCATTTTTCGCGTTTTTTCCCTTTGATAGTTCAAGAAATGCTGATGATAACACCTTTCCTATGCCATTAGTGACGAAACAACATTTGTTTCGATCACTTTCACTAGCTAAATTCTTCACACTAGTGACTAATTCTTCACATGAACTTGATTTCTCCATCTCTAACTTGCTCGAGTTTGTTATTTTCGCGAGTAATTCAGAGACATCAGATGATGAAATCGGGATTCTTGGAGTTGGAATCCTATCAATCCCATGTTCCTTATTTTCGACACACCATTGTTGAATCATTTTTCGAATATTGTGATTTGGAATTAAAACAGGATCAACAATGCCATTTCCATAGGACTTCAGTTCTTGATTTGTGATAGGACATGTTTGATTCCCACCTTCATTTATCCATTTTTCGATGTTTTCTCGATCATACGTAATCCCTGTTGATAAAGTCACTGGATCTTTCATTAAATCTAATGAAATTGGACATGTAAATTGGCTTGGTATCACTAACTCCATGTTTGTTTTCTTCATAAATCCTCTCTTTGTTACTCTTTTCTCTGTTCTCTTTTTTCTCCATGTTGCAATCATCTCTACGTGAATCACTATCTGAATGACTAAACAAATATCAGCTAACGAAGGCCTCGAAAAGAAGTTTAATTTTTTCTTTTTTTGGTTTTTGGTTTTGTTAGGGATAGTACTCAAGGTTTTTATGTGTTATATATATATATATATATATATATATATATATATATA